AAAAGCAAATATCAAGTTTACATATCTTTAAAAGAAATTTATTTACATGATATATAGTTAAATATGTAACAAAAATATTTTAAAACAGAAGCATATAAAAAACACATTTTTCTTAAAAAAACAAAGTTGAAGCCACCATTTACAGCACCGAGGAGACAAGCATAGCCTATTGTAAGAAAACCATATCAAATAATTTAAAATATTTATTACCGATAGGGACGACAATTAAACATATTTAAAAAGCTACGTGATTCCATATTAGTAGGATTGTTATAGAAAAGTATATTAAAAAAGTATATTTAAAAAGTATAATTAAAAAAAAGTGGATTAAATAGAAAACAGATTTTTAAAAACTACCCAATAATGTAAGCATTTTGCCAATAGTGTTCAATTTTGAAACCAATATCTTTAATGGAAAGCCGACTTGTTTAACTAATCTCATTCAAAGAATAAAATTATTATCACTTAAAGATAAAGAAAAAAAAATGAATGAGATATGAACAATTTAAAAAGTATTTTATAAATAAGTAGATATATATGAAAAAAAAAACAACAACTGGAAAACCGTATACCTGCTTTTGGTAACCTATTGTGATACTGCAGCAGTTGCTGTAAGGATGCAAATGTACTTTTTGGTGTTGTTCGTAACTTTTATGTTGGCTTTTAGTAAACTTTAGTTTAATTTAAAAGACATCACAACGGATTAAAAATACTCAAAATAAAAAAAGCGAAACATAAAATGCTTCAAGGAGCCAAACTATAAACATAAAAGATGAAGAATGGAATCAAGACAAACAAATTGTATTTATATAGCTAAATATATCGCCTTAGGTTTTTGTAAATTTTAAAAGCAGTGAGTTCAATAAATGAAACATACCAAATAATAGTTTTTAACATAAGAATGCAGTAACATTATATTATGATAATTGGATAATGAATCAATTCAACTTTCGACTTTAGATTTCAGGGAGGGGTATTTAAGAGGGCTTTAAAATTGAAGTCAGGTTTAATTGGTAAAAAAACAATTAAAATTTTCATTGAAATAGATCAAAACAAATTAAATATACAACGTAATATATATTTAAAAAAAAAATTACAAAATTAAAAAAAAAACTGAAGAAAAAGCAGCAACTAAAAAGTCATAAATATCTCTACTGATAGAAGACATTTACAACCTTTTGGTTGCTGTTTTTTTTTCGGTGTCTCCCAACACCCCGGTATGGATGAGCCCTCCATTTAAAGGAGGGCTCATCCATTCCGCCATGATCTTTCCATTTTTTGAAGGACCTCCCTGAGAGAGGTCCCGGGTGTTGGGAGCGGTAATTTTTGTATTCTTTGAATGATAAGGAATCTAATGTTACAAATAGAAGAATATAATAAAAATTATACATTTGCAATTATTAAAAAAAAAACATTTTCATTTAAAACAGAACCATTTTCATTCAAAACAGAAGATGCTTAAAAAAAAAAAGAGGAAATTAATAAGGGTTAAACATGCAACATTTTGTATTTTATTAAAAATAAAGGGCAATAATGCAACTAGTTTAAAAGTGTCATATTTATTAATTAATTTTTCCACCTATTTCACATATTTCTCCATACAAAACATATAAAATATAAAACACAGCCCTACTAGCTATACTTCGATAAAATAATGTTAACATATAAATATGTACATATCTAAATAATTGTTTTACTTATCTCCCTCATTTCATCCATAAAGTTGTCTAAAGTAAGAAAAAAATAACTAAAGCTAAAAACAAAACTATAAACTTAACCAAAACTATAAACTAAAGTAAACTTTAAATCTTAATATTAATGCTTTATTTATTAAACTATACTAATCATAAATTATACTTAGTTTTTGTTCCAACTCCCCTAAAAGAAAGTATAAAATAAAGCTAAAGAACTTCATTTTTTAAAATTCCAGTGGCAGTACAAATAAACAAATTCCTATTAATAATTATCTAATAGCAAAAACACTGACTTATTTCCTTCTTCACTTCTCTATATATACAATAAAAGCACTTTAATGTTTAGACGTTAAAGTATCGATAAAATACATATTAAATGCCACATTCAACTAATGTAATTAATACCTTTATTAGATCTCTCTTGATTTATTAAAGAATTTAAATTTTAAATAAACTCTAACTAAATTTTAACAAACAAACAACCAAAATAAATCTTCACTTTAATAGTACGTTATTAAGTTGATTAATAGATCAAACAATTTAATCTTCTCTAATAATCTACTACCTTATTAATAAACTTTAACTATTTTTCTACGACTCAGTGTAACTATAATATAGATATTTTAAAAGTAAAAAAGAAATTTAATATTCCAATATATATGATTTTAAAAACCTGAAATTTTCAATCTACCTCGAAGAAAACAGATATATATTGAAAAGTATTTTTATTTCTTTTTAAAAATTTAAAAATGCTTTATAACTTACTTGTTTCAATATTATTACCAACGGCTAAATAGAAAAACAAACAAACATTTAAGTCGACTCATTCTAAAATCTCATAATACATGATTTAAAAAACCTAAAATTTTAAATCTACCTCGAAGAAAACAGATATATATTGAAAAGTATTTTTATTTCTTTTTAAAAATTTAAAAATGCTTTATAACTTACTTGTTTCAAAATTATAACCAACGTCTAAATAGAAAAACAAAGATATATGATTTTTATATATGATTTTAAAATATATATGATTTTAAAAACCTGAAACTTTAAATCTACCTCAAAGAAAACAGATATATATTGAAAAGTATTTTTATTTTTTTTTAAAATTTAAAAATGCTTCTTAACTTTTTTTTCAATATTGTCATCATCTAAATAGAAACACAAACAAACATTTAAGTCGACTCATTCTTAAATCTAGTTCAATTTCTTTAAAAATAAAAAAAATTTAAATTTTAAGGATTAAATTCGATTACAAATTTTCGTTTAAGTTCGTTTAAACCATTTTAATATTGTTAAGTTAATTTAAAGTTTTAAAAAACTGAAACTTTAATTCTACCTCAAAGAAAACAGATATATATTGAAAAGTATTTTTATTTCTTTTTAAAAATTTAAAAATGTTTTTAAACTTACTCCCTCCGATATAATTATATAATATTTATAGTATATATGATAAATAAACCTACACAATTACCTTGGTTTAACAACTCGATTATGATTAATAACAACTCTGTAAACATGAATTTTCTAATAACCTAAATAATTTACAGATAGACAAACATAAATAACATTTATAACAAAATTTTCAATAAAAATTAAATTAAGATAAATTTATAACAAAATGTTGTCATGGCTTTTATCCCAATAACCAAAACTAAGTGAAAGCATGGAACTACCTATAAATATATTTTAACGCTAGACACAATTTAAGAATTAAAGTAATCTAAAACACGAGGCTTTAAATTTAAAATTACAATTTAAAAATGATTACAATAAATTAATCACATTTAAATTTAAAAAAAAAGTTAGATTACCTATAATTTTAAGCTACTAAACATTATCTATTTAATGTCAACATAACTCGTACCATGAAAGGTTGAAAGGAAATCTTTATGAAAGCACGCGGTAAAGAAAAGTCTAGAAACTACTTAAAAAGTGTATTTTACAGATACAGAACCGTACCGTAACTATAAAACAATACGCGTAACTATGCGCAATAATAATAACATTCATTTGGCTATTCATTATAGGCGGATAATGTATATAATTACAACATTAATGCACATGTGTGTTTATATATATATATATATATATATATATATATATATATATATATATATATATATATATATATATATATATATATATATATATATATATATATATATATATATATATATATAAAATATATATATATATATATATAAATATATATATATATATATATATATATATATATAATATATATATATATATATATATATATATATATATATATATATATATATATATATATATATATATATATATATATATATATATATATATATATATATATATATATATATATATATATATATATTAATGTAGGTGGATGGCCTTCTAGAAAGCTACTTGAAAGCTTGAGTTCTTATGTTTGCATTGTGAATGTTTTATTTATATTTTATTAAACTTTGAACAAATGACTCGGATTTTCTTAGTGTAGTTACATTATGTTATACTGGATTTTTTGCTAACAGATTGCCTGCTTCAGTTTATTCCAATAAAACAAAATACTGAAATAGGCATTCAGATAGCTTTATATAAACATAGTATATAAAATAATATTACATGTTGCAAAGACTATCTATAAATCTTTAGTGGAAATAAAATCAAAAGTTTGTTATATTGTTTTTATTATAGTTGAAACAAACAGTAATAAAGAAATAGCTTTTTATTAGGAATTGTTTTAATTGTTGGTTCTCTGTCTTTTTTGAAATTGTTTTACCTGATCTTTTCATTGAATAACTGTAATGTTTGATTAAAATAGGAGATATGACATCTAGAATAACCATACACATTTGGTCTAGTACTGCTAAGTATTGTACTCTACAATTAGTACTATACAACACTATAAAGAACTTTCGTTATGACTATGTATTAAGTAGACCGAATCTTATCTAAGTCTAATTTTATAATAACTTTTATGTAGGCTTACTTTTATATTAGCTTAGTTTCACATTCTTTTAATTGTATCGTTTAGGATTAAGGCCAGACACAATAAGCTCCAAGAACATGCCATTAAATGTCTAAGAAAGTAAAGCAATCAAAGCAGAAAAATTTTTTTTTTGTTTTGAACGTTTTATTTTTTAGTGGCTGCAAATAACTTATTTTTGTATTTTTATATTACTGGAGAAAAAATAATAGCTTTAATACCATTGTTATTTCACAGCCATTAAAGAGTGTTATTTTAAACCCACCATGTAAAATTTTCTTTGGGTAAAAAAAAAATAAAAATTTATTCAAATGCATATAAAATTTGTTTAGGTAAAGATGTAGGATGGATTGCAAGCTCCCTATTTATTGCCAGAGTCTTTTTTGGGTAACTTTTAGTTAAGATTTATGGTTTACCTTTATTATTTTGCTTATGTTTTTACATCGTTTCATAAAATAAGGTTTACGTTGTTGTTTTTATATATGCATGCTTTGATTTATAAATTAAGACAATTTTTGCAAAACTTAAAATAGTTTATTATTTGTTTTTATGTTTATGTTTATGTATGTATGTATGTATGTATGTATGTATGTATGTATGTATGTATGTATGTATGTATGTATGTATGTATGTATGTATGTATGTATGTATGTATGTATGTATGTATGTATGTATGTATGTATGTATGTATGTATGTATGTATGTATGTATGTATGTATGTATGTGTGTATGAATTTATGTATGTATGTATGTATGTATGTATGTATGTATGTATGTATGTATGTATGTATGTATGTATGTATGTATGTATGTATGTATGTATGTATGTATGAATTTATGTATGTATGTATCTGTGTATGTATGAGCGTATGCTAGTACGTAGGTATTTATGTATATATATGTATATATATATATATATATATATATATATATATATATATATATATATATATTTATATATATATATATATATATATATATATATATATATATATATATATATATATATATATATGTATATATGTATATATTTATATATATATGTATATATTTATATATATATATATATATATATATATATATATATATATATATATATATAAATGAATACATATATATATATATATATATATATATATATATATATATATATATATATATATATATATATATATATATATATATATATATATATATGTATATATATATATATATATATATATATATATATATATGTATTCATTTATATATATATATATATATATATATTATATATATATATATATATATATATATATATATAAATATATACATATATATATATATAAATATATACATATATACATATATATATATATATATATATATATATATATATATATATATATATATATATATATATATATATATATATACATATATATATATATATATTTTTATATTCATTTTGAAATTATTGCTTAATTTACAGACCGGTCAGTAAATTACTATAAAAGATTTGCAGAAATCTATTGAGCGATTTTACTTTAAATATAATTGATAGTTTTCAACTGTTATTACATTTGATTTTAAATTTTTGATAGGGGACAAAAATATAATAAAATTAAATGCCATAATTTTTTTTGCAGTTTATAAAATTAACAATTCTGAATAATTTCTGTCGAAATTATTCAGAATTGTTAATTTTATAAACTGAAGTGTTTTTACTTATTTACTTAGTCTTTTAGAAAAAAATTCAGGTTATATTATAAAAGTTCTACGATAATATGCATAAAGGATTGTGGAATCCAAATAATTCATCTGTTTAAAACTAATAGTTAATTTTCAAACCGATTAGTAAATCACTGCGTATGGGCATTGATATCTATCTGAATCATTCAGAATTATCTATTTAACAGAAAGAACATTCTTTGACAAAGTTTAAATTTAAATTTGAATTAAAATAATTTACAGCAATCGAACTTCCTGAAATTTTGAGTATTTACAACAGCAATAGCAGGTGTAACAGCAGAAACTCAACCTAAAACTGTAATAAAATTATTATTAAAAACGCAGATACGCAATTTTTCGAAAATTCTATTTGTTAATTCGTTTTAAAAATTAAAAATAAAAAAAAACAACTATAAATTAACAATTAACACTAAATAAATATAAAATAAGAAACTTACTCTTTGAGAATGTCTATGTGAACTTTTAACAACACCTAAGATAAAAAAAACAAAAACAACATTAAAACAAAAAAATGTTGCTGTTCTACAACTAATCTCATGGCTTTTAGTGAATGATTAGAAGCAGCAAGTTTTAGTTAGGAAACAAAATAATAATCATTTTTAATAATAGACACCAGCGAGAAGGTAAGCCAAATTGTCTATCAACACAAAACATCACAACAATAACATCACAATCACAAAACATACAGACCCTGTGGCACTAAATGCTGCAAATTCACACTAGTGTCAATACTTAGCTAACAAGGTTAACGTCTATCCTTAGGCATTTATTATTTCTAACCAACATTAATGGTCATCCTGAAAAGCTCACAGATTAAAAGCAACATTAATGATCTTCCTGAAAAGTTTGCATGTGGCTCTGTTTGTCGATGACATAAAAAACATATGGATTTGAATAATCTCAATTTAGAGCTGACCTGTTAACTGCCGTTACAGAAAGGTTTGAAATTATAATTAGATAAAGGCGGTGAGGCACATTCTATTACTCTGGATGATATGGTGTCTGGATGATATCTGGCGAAGTCTTCAAAACGTCTTTGCTATCTTTTTTATATTCTTATATTGATGAATGGCGACATTTTTACTGTGTCTTCTAATTTACATTGTCTCTGATTATCTTTTTGTACTGACCTCTCATAGAAAGTTAGTAACTGTGTAGGAGAATATAATACTAAAAAAAGTAACGTGTATACGATTGTATACGATAATATAATAATAAAACAAATAACAGTTGTTTTTTTTAATACTCTCCATTTATCTTGTTTTCCTGATTCATATAATTTGCAAATTATATTGTCATCTGTTAATCGTTATAATCTTTACCTTGGGTCTACCAGTAACTACTAACTCTAAATGTGGTTGCTTCCAGCCTTGTTGGAAATACAGGTAGGTAAAATAAAAAGTCAATCTCGTATGATTTAACAATTTTGATGATTTGCTACCTTCTGTTAATTGTTCTATCCCTACTTCTAGCCAAACATATTCTGGAACAAATTCTAAAGAATTTGTTTAAGAAGATGTTCAAGAAGCTGCTTCTAAAAGTTTATTTTCTGATTTAAACTTGAAAACTGGTAATGATGTTTATTTAAGCTCTTATACTTCTAATATTTAAAAACTTCAATCTATTCCTGGCAGTATCAAATGGTTTTTCCAGCAATAATTTGTAAGCTAAAATTAAAAGTAAACCTAAATTAACGTAACTCAAAACAAAGAAAACAAGGGATGGATCAATAAAGTTTGCTTTCAATAAATAAAAGTATTTAGATACAAAATGTTTGTGGTTATGTTAAAAATTTAGCGAAGTAGGCCTAATTAATTCAAAGTTGTACTATAACTTATGGAAGATATTAGCTCTTACACAATTTCATTTTTGGTCACTTTTGATCCTTTTGAAGTTGATATGATTTTTGAACCTTTTGAAGTTGATATGAAGGCCAATATGCAATCACAATAGTCTATTGAATAGATAGATTGTAGCCTATACCCGAACTTAAAGTTTCGATAAACAATTCAGATTTCAATTCAGATAATGCCTCTGAAAAATTTAGATTATTTATTTTTAATTTATTAACATTTTAGGAATTTCACTTTAAATTTCATATTTAGAATACAAATAAGGTCCCTAATCGAATTCTAAATATAAAATTGAAATTGATATTTATTCTTATTATCCATATATATCCTTGTTAATCCTTAAGCCTTAATAAGGCTTAATTAGGCTATATATAAGGAAAAATCTAATTATGTAGATAATTAAGTTAAGGTACTTAAATTAACTACTCGCATCCTTAGATTATTCGATATATTTTCTCATTAAACCTTATTAAAAACTTTTGTTCTTTTCATTATTTTTGTTTGTTATTTAAAATAAAAAAACTTCTTATTTACATCCTTAATGAGGATTATTTTTTATTAACATCCTCAAAATATTTCTTATTTACATCCTTAAATTAAATCTTAATAAGGATGTGAATAAGAAATAAATCTTATTAAGGCTTAATAAAGATTATTTCTTATTCAAATCCTTATTAAGATTTAATTTAAGGATTTGAATAAGAAATAATCCTCAATAAAGATTAATTCTTATTCACAACCTTAAATTATTTTTAGTTCACTTAAATAATAACTAAATAGGACGTCTCATTTTATGAGAATAATGTATAACTGCTTTAAATGATATAGAAATCTTTGTTCTTTCCATCTTTTTTGTTTATTGTCATCAATGTTGACAAAAACATATATAAAATATGATATTTTTTTTTTTCACTTAATGAGAAACTTAAATGTTAGCTGAATAATTGAGCTAATATTTAAGTTTTGAAATTTGTGAAAAAAAACACATCATCAAATTTTGTAAAATAAACGCAAAACTTTATTTATAACTTAGAATAAGTCTTAGTAAACATACGCAAAAATCAAAACAAAAAACGTCATAAAATACGCGAAAAAAAAGCATATAACGCATACATTGTTTAAAAAAAAGTTTTCTAAGCATCAAAAAGAGAGAAGAAGAGCTATATTTGCTATTTGGACAGGGAACCTTTTCAAAATAATTTTTTTTTAACTAAATCGACCTTAAAGTTTTTAAACGTTAGGAACTAAAAATTTTTGTATAAATTTGAAAAAAAGTTCCCCTTTCCATTCGATTTCTCGTCCTTTTTTTAATCTATATAAAAATTTTCATGCAAATTGGATGTGTTTTAGTACATGGGAAATCTTACCTTCAAAAGTTACTTTTGAAAATACGTTTCCGCGGCAACATTTTTCAGCAAAAGTCGTCTCAAGGTATTGATAATATTTAGGTAAAACCATATGAAGCATAGTACTTTCTATATATGGCTAGAAGGAGGTTGAGAAACACTAACTGATGCGAAAAGCCCTAAGGTGATTGTTTAAATGTACAATAAGATATAAGGGAGTAAAGTTTATGAAAATTCGGTGTTTTTGGTCAAACTTCAAATGTTTTTTGTTGCGCCGTGGAATCGATATATTTGTTTATACATATAGTTTATAAAATGTAAATAATCCATTTAGAAAACGTTTTATTAAGGATTGTAAGAAATATAAGTAAACTTTTCTAATATTTATAAGTCTTTTTGGTCACGATGTTTTGTTTTGACTTTTCGTAGTTATGCTGTTTTATTTAAAAAATTGCCA